AAAAAAAAAAAATTCCTCAAAAGTGGCCACCGATGCCCATTGACGCTCCAATCGACCGGTTGACTCATCGTCGTTGTTCGAACAAGCAAAGCTCAACGAGCGACGAGCGATTCTAAATTTGAATCTGTCTGAAATGACACGACGCGCTGGCGGGAAATTCAAAAGCGGGCAACTGGTTCTCGAGGTCGTTGCGTCGCGCGGCGGCGCAATCTCGGCCGCGAAAAAGGAAGAAGGCTGCGGCGTACGGTTCGCGCGTAATCTCGATCGCCGTTTCCGGAAACGAACCGTATCCTGCTTCGGCGAGGAGGCAGCGAGACAGCAGGGGCGGAAGGAGAAGAAGGAAGAGGAGGAGAACGATGACGAAGCGGCAGAGGAGCGAGAGAAGAACGAAGGGCAGAGAGAGAAAGAAAGAGAGAGAGAGAGAGAGAGAGAGAGAGGGCAGAGAACACGACTAGCGAGAGGGGAACCGACGCAAAGCGACGCGACGCGACGCCGCGATCCTCCGACCAACCAACGTGTACCAATTTTCTCTCAAGTGAGCTTCGAAAAGTGCGCCATCAAATTACCATTCACGTTTTTCTAAACAGTAAACCTGTGGGCAAGAAGGACATTAGAAAACTACAAAATAACTTAATAATAATAGTGATATCTTACTCCAATACTTACTCTCACTCTACGTCATTTGCTCTATGCGCCCCCGAAAAAATCGCGAAATGGAATTGGCCATCCCTGACGTAGACCAACACGTTCTCGATCGTGTCCTGACCAATTAGCGGCCAGTCAGCTAGATATTTTCCGGAGAGTTTCCGAAGCGATCCATCGACACCTGGACTCGCGATGGAATCGAGCACATCGACAAAGAAACAGCGGGCGTAATCGCGTTTCGCGTTTCCAGTCGGGGAAACGTTCTTCCTTCCGAGAAGGAAGGACGCTCGACGACCACCTCTCGCTCGCGTTTCCGCGTAATCCACCGCGGCGCACCGGAGATACACCTATCTCGTAATACGCGTCTCCTCTCCTCTCCTCTCCTTTCCTCTCCTCACCACTACTCGCCTCTCTGGCAAGCGTCGCGAAGACAAGGAACGTTAAATATTCTAATACTTTGCATCTCTGGTATTTTCTTTGAGCTGATTCTCCTCAACCTTCAACCTTGCCACGCATGTCGAGAGTTTTTCCTTTTCGTCTCCTCGAATGTTGCCAATTCACTTTGTCAATTCACAAGTACATGCATAAATATGAAAGAGACGATAAATTTATTACTTCTTCTAATCAGATAGATTTCTATCCTTGTTTCGTAATGCGAAGCGACAGTGAACTTGGTGATATCAGCGATGAATTATTAAAATATACAGTTTGGTCACGTGTATCCGTGAACCAACGGCTTGAACGTTTACTGAACGAGGGCTTCGCAAAATTTTCCACTTGAAACTGACACTCCCCTTCGCCCGAGCAAAATCTATGGGGTACCCGTAAGTAATGTCGTTTTCTTTTCAAATTTAATAAACATTGCCATCTAATGACAATAATTTAACTTGTTGCAACATAACCTTGTTATAACATAACCTATATTCTAATTAAATATATCGACATTTCGGGTGCTAGTTGTTAAATTAAATTATGTTATGAGATTAACTCTTACATGGAATAAAATTTTGCACAGTACACGTTCGTTGCAATTGTCAAGAAAATGGACAAGTTTCACGACTATAAGTTAT